CTGGTATCAAATTGCTGCCTGCATTATACCTAAGTCCACTCGTGTTTTCATGATCCAAAGCAATCGCTCTTGTTTCCCTTTCTCAGCGAGTCGATTCCTTTGTCCAACATTCTCAGAAATATAATGGTTTTTATCCCTGCCTTTTTCCCACCGCTTTCTCACATCTCTTCACCCTTTGCTGTTGCACAGCCTTTGTGCCATGTGTGTTCACCACTGAGGACTGTTCACGAGCTCCCTCCGAGAAATGCAGAATTAGTGAGGGAAGAAGTCAGAATCAAGCCAGTTCAAGATGGTTGTTGAGTTCAGCTCCAGATCCAGACACCTAAACAAAGGTGTCTCTTATGGAGGTGTCTCCATGCAAAGAGGGACTCCAATCTCCCCTTGTATTCAATGGAGATAGAGACAATAAAACCACAGAGTCTAAGTAATGGCCTTCAGACAGCTCTGGCCATAATGACTGAGGAAACAATTTTTTTGAGCATCACCTAATGTCATTTGAGATGCCATGAGTACCCTGCCTCACTCCAGCTCCCAGCTCAAAAATGTTCTGGTCTTCTGTGTGCAAGTTTGTCACATCTGCCAGCTCCACGTGGAGGTCTGGAATATCCCAAAGCATCTCAAATGTTGCTGGATTCCCACCTGTGGTGGTTGCACTAAGCCTTCATTCTGTACTGAGTAAAGTAAGGGACATTGTTTAACCATGGACACCCTGGGGTGAGTCTCTACTGAATCCTGCCTGAAATACCTTGGCAAAGTGCACTGTGATGTGAAGATCTATTCCCTGCTTTCACTTGGATTTTACAGGAGACCTTGGGTAAATCCTTTAAATATTAGTGCTTCATCTGTCAAACGGGACATTATAGACCTCTACCTTTCTGTGCTGAATGCAGGTTAGGAGAGGTCTCACCATAAGGACTTCAGAGCTCGTCACTAAAGGGATCTGGGGGGTTAATTCTTGTGATGTGTCATTCAAGGAACAGGGCCTTGACTCCTCAGTGGTGCTGACTTTGGCCTGTGAGTCATTCTTTGCTTCCTAGCAGGTGATAGGAGGACTTCAAAGTCTGTTGTACAGTTTGAAGACAATCTTAGTCTATGCCAGTCTGACTTGTTATGGATAGGGGGGAGACAGATCCCACAGATTCAGCTCCATAGTAGCTGACCTCCTCCTGGCTTGAGAATGCCCAGAGATGTGGTTGTGCATGGTGGGAATGTTCCACTCCCAAGACTAAGAACACAGTGGGAGGAGTGGGAGTGGGTTTTTTTGAAGTGATTTCAGTTTTTACCCAACCTCATCCCTTTGATAAACAAACCTTGGAAGGGGGCTGAAACCTACTCATCGTAGATGAAGGTGCGTCAGTCACCATGAGCAAAACTCATAATCAAAATAAAAAGTTACTTCTCATATGATCCAACTTTACAAGACTTTTTGTTCTAGTTATGATTGGAGAGATCTCTGTAGTTGGTTAGAAACAAGGTCTGGAGGAGTGGAGGGTCAAAAAGAGACAGTTTATCCCACAGTCTGTGAGAATTGTAAATTGTGTGAAGATGTCACAGGGAAAGATGGGAATGAGAAAGTTGTGGTCAAGATGAACAAAAGTGCTGTGTCATTTAAGCCTTTATGAAATAGCCAGGGAATAATTTCTGTGGCAACACAGTAAGAAGGACTGTAGAACTCTTCACATCACCCCATGATTCCTGCTGACATCCACCTATGGGATGTCACCGCCTTACACCCAGGTCCATCACTAGGATGCCAAAACTCACATTCACCACACACTCTTGAATTTTCAAACAACAGCAGAAATATGTCAAAATGTCTGGAGATACTCCGTTGCCTCCCTCAGACCTTGGTGCAAACGAGGAGACAATGAGCTGTTTGTGAGGGTAGGACTCATCCCGCCTGACTGCCTGTGCTCGCGCGTGCCCTGGCAAGGGTTGGAGTCAGACACCTTGGGAGCATGAGTCAACCACTCCTTGTCCCACACATGGATCTTAGGACAGGGTGAATCACTTTCTGGGGGTGTCTGCCTCTCTCTGCTGACTGGCAGAGATGTTCAGATGACTATCAGCAGGCAGGGACCGTGCAATGTGAGTGATTCAACACACGTAATCTCAGCTCTGTACAATTTACAGCCCTGGCTGTGATTAGTGGAATGTTCTTCACTGAAAACGTTACAGAAAAGCCTTTCTGTGTAAACTGAGGGGTTGTTTCAGGTGTATTTTAGTCCTCTCTCTACTCTAGAATAAATGAGCCCAACAGAAACATTTTTAAGCCAGGGTGACAAATCTGTCTCCTGAGGGTTGGTGCTGCTTGAGTTTCAGAGTACAGGTACACCTAATGCCCAACAAATTTCTAGTAAAATATCACTAAAATATGCAAGTTTCTAGTAAAACAGCAATAAAATAAGACATCATTTTTTTCCTGTTAATCAGGGAAAGTTTTTAAACTGAATAGCTAAAAGATACTGCAACAAACAGTACTTACACACATAACTTTAAAATTGTGTGGCATCACTCAGCCTTCCAGGACTGTTAATTATATCTACCAAAAATGTAACACATCTGGAAGGTTAAAAATATATCTCATCTACATCTGCTTGGGGCTGAGGATGTTCACATTCAGAAGTTTCCATCCAGACTGAGGGAGCTGGGCATGTTTAGTCTGGAGAAGACTGAAAGGGGATCTCATAAATCCATATAAATATTTCCAAGGCGGGTGCCAAGAGGATGGTGCCACTCTTTTCAGTGGCAGGACAAGGAGCAATGGCCATAAACTAAAGCACCAGAAACTCCATCTCAACATGAGATAGAACTTCTTTCAATTGAGGGTGGCAGAGCACTGGAACAGGTTGTCCAGTGTGGTGGTGTAGTCTCCCTCTCTGGAGACATTCCAAACCCACCTGGATGAGATCCTGTGTCACCTGTTCCAGGTGACCCTGCCTTGGGATGGTCTTAGATGGTCTCCAGGGGTGCCTTCCAACCCAAACTATTCTGTGATTCTGTGATTAGAATCCCTAAGTCCAATATCTATTGTTTCTTATTGAGGACTTAGAATTGGGGGAAATCATGAAAGCTGGTGGCTTCAAGCTTCCCTCTTTGATAAGGCCACTGGTTTGTGGCTTGTTGGTTTTTTTTAAATTTAGTCTGAAATGCTAAAGCAGCTGTAAGTCCAAAGGCAAAGGATTCAGAGAGACAAGCTAATGGAAAGACACAGTTTTGGTGGACCTGCAGGCTGTGAGAATTCCATTGAGGGGCAGAGATGGAGCTCTGTCATCCTTCCTGGCCACCTTCCTCATCACCTCTCCTCCAGACATAGATGGGTTGGAAGGAGGGAAATCTAACTCCACTGCACTGTAGGATGGGCTCCTCAAAAAAGAAGAAGATAAAGTCTGTGGAGTGAGGTCTGAAGAGCCAGTGGATCTTATTTGCATTCCCATAGAAGCCAGGCCTCCGTGGACAGAGAGAAAACAGGAGAAGAAGAAATTTAGGGGGTTTGGACTTTTTAGCTTTTTAACCCTGAGTAGCTGCAGAAAGATGTTCCTTGGGTTTTTTAGGGTAGGAAAATTAAAATAAGAGCTGGTTGGAACCAGGTGATCCTCAAGGTCCCTTCCAACCCAGGCCATCCTATGATTCTCTGACTTTCTAATATGTTACACATCAGAGAAAGAAAGGTGTCATTATTTGTTTTCCTTACAACCATTAGCATTTTTCCTTTAGTACTTATAGGTGATGCTCCCAGACAAATCTTTGGCCAAGGCTCAATCAAACTATAGCTACCAAATTATTGAACTTCCCAAGCATGGATTTTGGTCCATCATCTGTTCCCTCACCTGCAGAACAGTTGTCCAGTGAGCAGCAGTGGGAGCAAAGGAATAAGATGCCAGTGACTCCTTCTTTTCCCAGGAATCTGTCAATTCATTTTTATTGTGATGCTTTGCTCAATGAGTTGTTCAATCTACCCTTGTGATGATCAGTGGGGTTTTTTTTTTTGTTTTTAAAAGCCTCTGAAGTGTAGTGGGGAACTATTTTATCTTTCAGAGAAAATAAACTGTTTAAGTGTTGGTTGGGATGATGAGTTAGTTGAGATGATGGTTGGTTAAGACTGATTTCCTTTTGGAATATCATGGGGTGCCTTCTGAGGGTGACCCCAGGGCTGGAATTGCAGGCACTGATGGGAACAATCCTCAGGGTCTGAGTGTTTTGGGAAAGAGTGGACCAAATCCAAGGTCTCCTCAGAGGGAGAAGAAACAGGGCTGGAGACACAGCTGTGACTTGGATCTGTGGTCCATCCAGGAGACAAGGCTGGAGATGAGCTACCTCCAATACCTCCAGCTGCTCTGGAACCAGGGCAGGGGATTTTCTGGAGGGATCAGATTCTTTGTTTTGGGACCATTTGAAGGGTATTGATGAGTCTTGATGCTCCCTGTATTTATATATTTACATGCACAGGATAAAAAAACTGCCTATTTTTCTCAAAGGCAAATGCAAATGGAGATTCCTGAGTAAGGCAGAATCAATGGGAATGTTGCTCATATAACAGTATTTTAGAAGAAGAAAGAATCCATGCAGCTGCAGAGAGTATGGATGTCCTGCTCTTGCAGTGGTGCATTCCAAGATAAGATTCCTTTCTACAGAAAACAACCTTCATACTTGGGATGAAGCATTTAGATGGGACCTGGATTTCAAATTCTCAAATGTGGATCCAATCAGGATGAGCACAGAGGTTGTTCCCAGTTAAAAGAGATGAGCTGGGGTGGGGTGGCAGAGCCGGTGGCTCCTGGAGATCAGGACAATGTGTCAGAGAACTCCTGAATGCAGCATCCTTTCCAATTCCCACACTGATATTTCTGTATTTCTCTCCTCCAGACTGTAAGGACAACCTGACGTGAGTTGAACCTTCAGGCTCCCAAGCCTGCCCCCGATGCAATAATTTAGTGAGCAGATGATGTTTTCAACCAAACCTCCTCTCTAACCCAGTGGATCTGTGTGTCTTCCGGCAGGTGTGTCCTCTGTGGCCTCCCTGATGTCCCTGGCTTGGGTGCTAGCCTCCTATCACAAGCTTCTTCGGGACTCTAGGGACGACAAGAAGAGTATGAGCTACAGAGGGGCCCTCATCCATCTCTTCTGGCGCATCTTCACCATCTCATCCCGAGTTATTTCTTTTGCTCTCTTTGCTTCCATCTTCCAGCTCTACTTTGGGATCTTTGTAGTGGTCCATTGGTGTGCCATGGCTTTCTGGATCATCCATGGTGGGACAGATTTCTGCATGTCTAAGTGGGAGGAGATCCTCTTCAACATGGTGGTAGGGATTGTGTACATTTTCTGCTGGTTTAATGTCAAGGAAGGGCGGACTCGATACCGAATGTTTGCGTATTACACGGTGGTCCTGACGGAGAACGCGACCTTGACGCTCCTTTGGTATTTTTACAGAGATCCTGAAACCACTGACTCATATGCCGTGCCAGCACTGTGTTGTGTCTTTCTTAGCTTTGCTGCTGGGATAGCTTTGATGCTGTTATATTATGGTGTGCTGCATCCCATGGGGCCAAGAGCTAAGATCCTTGTCAGCTCCTGTTGCGCCGAGCTGCTCTGGGGCATTCCTTTGCCCCCCGATGTTGAGCCCATGGCGCCCCAAACCCCTGGGTACCGGGGGGCCCAGGCTACGCCCACCAGAGCGGTCACGGAGCAACAGGAGGAACTCACAGCTGACACTTGCTTGCCCGTTTTCCAGGTGAGAGCAATGGTTCCATCTACTCCATCTGGGCGACCCTACCCACCCGAGGGGCCTCTCATTAAGATTGACATCCCAAGAAAAAGATATCCTGCATGGGATGCTCATTTTGTAGACAGGAGGTTAAGAAGAACTATCAACATCCTCCAATATGTCACCCCCACAGCTGTAGGTATTAGGTATAGAGATGGACCTCTCTTATATGAGTTGCTACAATATGAATCTTCACTTTAAAAGCTCCTTAAAGCAAAAGTAAAAGAGGGGACCTTATTTTTGTTTACGGTAAACACAGATCATGAAACAAACACAAACCTTCAGATAAGCTTTCTTTCTGGTTGCTGTATGTATAAAAAAAAGAAAAAAAAAGATATTCTCTATGTTTTGTAAGTAAAAACAAAAAGAAAAACTTTTCTTTTGTTTTTTACACACAAGAAACAGTATTTCAACTTCCACACCTAGGATTCACAGGTGGAGAAGGAGGCATCTCCACATCAGTTTTATACCGTACACCAAGTGTAGAACATTATTTATGGGATTGGTGCTGATTGAAAAATAAAAAAAAAAACAAACAAACAAACCTACAACTGCCTTATGCCCTTAGGTGCTGAGTTTCATTAAGTACTGTCACCTTTCTCATGCAAAACTCTTTGATGATTATATGCCAGGAAAAAAAAAAAGAAAAAAAAAACAAAACCAAAAAACCAACTGAAATGCAAACCTTAAAATTAAAAAAAATAGTAAAAAAAATGAACAACAACAACAAAAAGAGAGAAATGTATGAAAAAGAAAAATCCCGTTGCTTTTATTGGATTTAACAGAAAAATAACCAAACCCAAATATCTAAAGATAAGAAAGCAAAGCTGAGACACCCCTAATGGAGTTTGGTTTTTCCAACAGCTGAAAGACAAAATCAGGTCTGTAAGATAATTTGGCAAGGAATTTATAGCACCAGTTGGCCAAGCCTGTGAGCCTTGACCGAGTCGTGTTATGAATGCAATCCAACCATGGAACCGTTTTCCTTGTGGAAACGGATCACGTGGAATGGTGGGTTTGCACCAGATTAGTGTGATAATGGTGGATCTGATCTTGTTCCCAACAATTGCACGTGCTAAAGCACCACTGTCTCCAGTGGAGCAAATACCAAAAGCCTGAGCCCAGAATAAGGCCTGCCACCTTGAATTCTGGAAAATATGGAATTATTGAAATCATGTACCAAAAACATCCTCCTAAAGTCCATTTACACATATCTAATAATAATTATTTCAGTAATAATAAAACTCAGCATAGTAGCAAAAAGCGAGTCAATTTAAAGGCACAATACTTGATCAGTGACTGGCAAAATAATTTGACCTACTGTATCATTTTAAGGCTGTGAAAGGCATACATGTATTATTTGTAATCTCGTGTAAGACCTGTCATGTCTCATTCAGTGCGAGCCTTAAAGTGATTGTAAAGCATCCTTTCGTTCCATTTTGGGGATTTTTGGGTTTTGATTTTTTGTTTTTGTTCTGTTTTGTTTTTAAGGAAAACAAAACATGAAAAGTCGGGATCTAAAAAAAAAAACAAACACAAAAACAAACAAAAAAAAAGCAAACAAACAACAACAAAACAACCAACAAACTTCTTCAAACGGTAATAACCTGTAAACTGACTCACGTCTCGAGATGATTTGGTGCTTTGTATTTTTCGTTGATGTTGTTGTTGTGATTTAGCTGAGAATTCTTCGACTCGGTACATGTGGGGAACTGCTGATAAAAAACTGTCTCGTGTCACCCTCTACTGTAAGTACATGGCGAGAAACAACAAGCAGAGGAGATCCAAGAGCGTAGCGAGAGAGCATCGTGGTTTAGCTTTAGCCTTCTCACTGCAAGGAGATGCTGCCACCTCCGACGATGGCAAAGCCCAGACGGTCACCTGCCGAGGGCTGAGTGGTTGTCTTGACATTTCCAAGTAACCCGCTCGGTGTCTGAACATTCCCATCTCTCCAATTCTGTTTCTGTGCTGGAATCTCTTTGTTTTCGAGTTCGATCACGGGTTTGCGTCTGTCCAACAACGCCCTTTTTTTCCGTTCCGAGAGTATTGCTCCTTTAAAAGGAATAATCCCGTTTCAGGGCATCTTTTCAATCCCACCATCCCTCTACTTGGGAGGGGAAAAAAACAACAACAACAACAAAATGAGGTATTTTTAAGTGAATGCTGTAGTATTTTCTGTGTGTAATTGCAATTTTTTATTCCAGAAATACTGTAACTGTCTACGGTGCAAAACTCCCATGCTGACCTATTCTGAAGAGGAGATCAGCATGGGGGGGGATATTTTTTAATTATGATTATGATTTTTTTTTTAATTTGAGGAATCAGTTGGTTTTTTTAATTATAGTAGTATTTAAAGAAACTAGTACCAATTTTATATAACAGTTTAAAGAAGCTGAATGCTTTCTTCGCCTGAATATACCTGAAGAGAAACATTTTTTTCAATCAGTGATCCTTTGCAGTGTTCTGAGAAAATGTTGGGGTTTCTTCAGTTGTTTCATTTTGTTTTGTAAAGGAAACTTTTAACTGGTGTCTGTCCCTTTCCAGGAGGGCAGGACTCACTCACGCCAAACTATAGACACACGGCAAAGTTTATATGAAGCCAAATTGTCACTGGTACTGTAATTCCCAGTCAAACTCCATTTCAGGCAAATGTTTCTGGGCTCTGATTACAACTAATGTGATGGTCACATTTTCATGCAAAGGGAGGGATTTGGTCTTGTCATTCCCTATCTAACTTCCCAGTCCCTTGTTTACTGTGCACATAAATACATTTATATATATGTGTATATATATATATATATACATGAACTTATATATATTTATACATGAGCTTATATATATTTGTGAAAAGCTTTCATTTCCCTTCTCCATTATATGTGTCACAAAACCTCTCCCGTCTCAAGTGTCCTACTAACATTTCACCCTGTTTCTTCCCTGATCAGTCTCCATAAAAAAAGGTAATTTGTGAAGTGAACTCACTGTCCCCACCTACTGAGTCATAAAAACATGGAGGTGCCCATCCTCCAGCAACAGGCCTGCCTTTCTCCTCCCAGGACTTTCTTTTCACCTACCTTTAATGCAAGTGTAGGCTTAACTCTGATCCAATTCCCTGTGTAAAGAGTCTCCTTGGTCCTTCCATGAAGAGCTCTCCTCTGCAATCTGCATTTCATTGGCATAAGCATGAGAAAGGAATGGGTGGCAAACAACCCTGCTGTTCCTTGGGGGCCTCTCTTCCACGAGATAGCAACCTTATTTTCAAAAGCACCATGAGAAGGTCCCTCTCCCCAAACTTGTCCCCCTTGAGGTCCGGAGATGTGATCCCAGTCGCTGGCCCCGCTGAACCGCCGGATGCTGCCACTTCACACCAGGACAGTGAAAGGAGCCAACGAGCCAAGGCACAGTCACCAGGTGTCGAGGAGGAGACCCTTCAGTGTTGCCTCTCATGAGCAACTTCAGCCTGCCTTCCCTCAGGAACAGGATCTTACTCCACACCACCACACCAACAGCCGTCCTCTCCCTCCCGTGACGGGAGCGGAGGGGCAAAACACTCTGGAAGTGTCCTTACTTCTCAATGCAGTGCTAATTTCTCACAACCAAACCAGCTTAACTAAGGGCTTGACACATCCCTGTTCCAAAGTCCTCCTCGCTCGTGGCTCGTAGTGTGGATAACAACGAAGGCAGGGGCCTCCACTGCGTGTTAAGGCTGTTTCATTATTCTTGCTTCCATAAACTTTCTGCCTCTGTTTCTAGTCCTTTCTTTGAATGACATCCACTGGCATCTTCATGGAGTAAAGGATTTCCAGTGAGAGCCTGTGTCAACCCCGAAGAACTATTTCTTTTTTCAAGGACTCCATTACAGCCTTAACGTAAAGCACGTGCTCTGCCACTACACCCAACGAGTTCACGGTGGACAGTTTGGGGTGGTGACCATTTCCTCTTGGGATTACCTGTGATCTTGTTGCCAAACAGCGCCTTTTGCCAAGCCAAAAGCTCGGGGAGGAAAACTACCCCCAGCTCTTTATTGGTACTAATCCCAGTGCTGAGTCTAGACCTCTCCTCTTGTTTTGTTTATTTTTTACCCTTTGACTTTTCCTGTGCACTTTTTCCGGGATAGTCAATGACTTGTTTTGGTTTCACCTTGGTTTTAACTTCTCAGCTTACCCCTGGTAGCTCAGTTATACCATGTCCCACCTTCTTGCCAGAAGATACTGAGTGAGGAGGTTTTCAAACTGCCATGGAGAAGGTTGAGCTTGTATTTATTCACATCACAGGATCAGCGGGCAACTTCTCTGGCACATTTGTGCTACTGGATCCACCCTGGAATCATCTAAACCAGCCAAATGTGCCATGCCAGGGCAAAGCCGAGGCACGAGGGCTCCACCATCCCGACTGTTATACTGTTCAAACTTTCCCTGGCATGGTTTTGACCCCCTCCAACGAGCCCTGGACTCGGGCACAGCTTCCCCAGGCATGGCCAGAGACCATCCCCATCCAGCAGTTTGGATGCAGCTGCTCTGCATCAGGGGTGGAAGATTTTAGCAGTGTGATTGGGGCCAGCACTTGTCAGTTGGCCTGGTGGCCAGAATGGATCCTGGAAGTGCTTAATTTGCTAATAAAGATGTAACTCTGTGCCCACAGACCAGGATTCAGGACGTGGTGGAGAACGTCAGCTCCAATCTGGCATTTTTCTGTTTTCTGCCCGATTCAATGGACAAGTTGTTTTTCAGTTCACTCTGTTCTTTTTGCTGAGGTTGTTTTGCAAACAGCGTCACTTTTATCGCTCTGATGTCAACCCATCCATCCCTCCAACCATGTCAGATGGGTGGCATGTTTACTGTGATAGTGTTATACAACCATAGGCAGCTAATTCGGAGCCAGGAATGATTCAGACCAGACCAAATCAACAATGGAAATACAGGAATTACAAGGTCCCTGCCCATGCCCTTGTCATGCTTTGCCACCCACACAAGGCATTTTTTATCTGCAGCTTTTCCAACCTGAACTGCAGAAGAGGAGCCAGTGTTGAATAATTACCAGTGAAAACTGCAACTGAGCCACAGATTTCGAGTGTAAATATATATATTTTCAGTATTTGAGATTGGAGCTAATTCTCTGCTTCACCCCGTCCTTCTCTGCACCTGCCAAAAGCCAGCACTCATTTGCATGTATTTTTATTTAAAGCTGACTGGATGAAAAAGGACAAAATTAATTCCAGGCTTTAGTCAATGGTCTGCTAAAGCCTGGCTCATCAGGGGAGCATTGCTATTGACTTTCAGAGCACAATCTCCCTGTGCTCTTCAGCTATATTTCTGTACACGCAAGA